CCATGTACATAAACGGCCAGACGGGCGCAGTGCATGAGCGGGTGGCCGTTTATAAACGTCCTCCCACATTCCCTGTCTGTGTGCACTCCGTTGTACGGGACCTTTGTGTGAGGTCCCGACCATGTGATCGCTGATTGGCCATCAGTGATCACATGAGTAGAAGTAAGCAAGATATCACTTCCTGACATCATTGCTTACTACTAGTGAAATCTGTGAATGATCACAGAGGTCACATTGTACAAGGCTATTCACAACAGCCTTGTACCATGTGACAAGCTGTGACCAATCACAGCTCTCACAGTATTTCTCAATGGCTGCAAAAATTCAGCCAGGGAGAAGGAGAAATGATTGCTTTTACAGCCTTTATGGGTGTAAAAGCAATCAGTGTAAAAAACAAAATCTTCATCACCCCCCACAAGTAGTACAGTGGCACTGCGGTGACACTGTACTGCTAGGGTGACAGTATTTAAAAAAAAAACAAAAATATAAATAATAATATAAAAAAAATAAAATAAGAATGTAAAAATTTTCTTTTCAAAATTATAATTTTTTTGGTTATAAACTAATTTGGGTTTTTTTTTTTTTACTAAAAAGATAGCTGATTATTGGCCAAGATTTATGAAGAAAGATTATTTATTTGCAAAATTGTATAAAAACACTTTTTTTTCAAAATGGTTGGACTTTTTCATTTATATAGCAAAAAAATAAAAATCCCAGTGGTAAATAAATACATCCAAAATAAAGTTTTATCTGTCTCAAAAAAATGCAAACAAAATTCATATGGGTACAGTGTTGCATGACCGCACAATTGTCATTCAAAGTGTGATAGCACTGAAAGCTGGCCTGGACAGGAAGAGGGTGAAAGTGTCCGGACTTGAAGTGGTTAAACTATAACCATGCTTATCTAATTGCAAATTAAATATTGGTATTCCTAGAGTAAACAAGAAGGGCATTAATTACATTATATACTCACCTTAGTAACTACACCTTAGTAACAATAAAATCACATATTTTGGCACAAAACAACAAAGTACCAAGTTAAATAAAGTGCTTACCTATATTGATAGTATTCATAGTATACAGACATGTGTCTTTAAATGTCAGCATTTACACAGTACTACACAAGACCTTCCATACAGAAAATGGTATAACAAGATGATCTGAATGGAATAATAAGATATAGAAATGAACCTCCAATCTGTGTGTGTCAGCTTCCCCTTACTGTTGCTCTGAATGATTCATCAGACTAACTGTGATTCCAGCCACAACAGTAAATATTCTACCTCGAATGAGTTGTGTCTGACACAGTTCTGGATTAAACAGTATCTCTGCAATTGTACTTAAGGGTTGGTCAAAACTCAAACATAATATATCCCTCATCAGGGAGAGGAAATTGAAGGCTTTACAGAGCGGATGGATCTTTTTTTCTAACTTCAGGTTTTCTGAAATCTTTCAAACGACTCAGAAATGAATTGTTTCCTGAAAGCCTTAATAGCTTTCCTAAAGATTGAATGCCAGTATTCATGGTGCATTTTCTTAATCAATAGGAAAACTATATTGCTACTGTGTAGGTATTAGGTATGCGTAGGTATTAAAAAAAAATATTTGGACACTACATCTACCGAAAACATTTTACCCAATGTAAAGGGGCACCGAAGCAGCATTTGCCATTTTCATTTGGTGAGGAATGTTGCACTTTTTTTAGGTCTGCTGCTCCCAAAAATATAAACATTAAACTTTTGAAATACATACCTGTTTGGTAGATATAGGCTCCCTCTAGGTGTGAAGTGAACCTGTGCTTTGCCCATGCAGAAAGCAAAAACAGGTTAATTGAACTGCTCCCCAGTTGCACATACTCACATACACTTCTGTCCCCAGCAACTCTGCTTTCTGTCACATGACAGTGGTTTTGCTTGGTGACTAGCCATACAGTTGCCCGGTACTGTCACATGGGGATAGGCAGAGAGTCATGTGTAAGTGATGACGTACATTGGACTTCCTTTCTTAGCTATCGGTGGCCGAAAAGAGCAGCAGTAAGAGGGTACGTATATGTAGATGGTGGGAGTAGTAGGTAAAAATATGAAAAATTTGTATATGGCAATACCTCAATATGTGCATACCCATTATATTATTTTAAAAATATTTTTTAGACCTGTGTTTTCAGTTTTATCGACCTTTACATTCAAGTCAATCTTTCCAACAAAAGTGGCACTGACCATATAACACTGGTGGTGGTGTTTACAACAGTCAACTTTTATTTGTTTGGTTTAAAACGAGGGTCAGCAACCTGTAGATTGTGATTGGTAGATCACGGTCTGGGCTTGCTGACACATTTTTACATCAGAGTCTTTTAAAGTGCAAGAAGGCAGAGGGGGAGAATTACTAAAACAGGTGCACTCAGAATATAGTGCAGATGTGCATGGTAGCCAATGAGCTTCTACATTCGACTTGTTCAATTAGGCTTTGGCAATAAAACCTGGATGCTCATTGGTTTCTATGCCCCAAATTTTGCATTCTCCAGTTTTAGTAAATAACTCTCAATGATTTCGCCTCTGCAAAGAACTAACACTGACTGAGGGAACATAGAAGAAACAGGGGTGTGGTCTTGCTAGGACTTAACAAACTAGCATTAAACAGAAGGGGAGGACAGAGGGAAATACCAAATCACACAAGTAAACAAGTTGTAGTGGCCATAAACCACTACTAGATCTAAGCATACATCAAAACAATAGGACCTGATGCAGTTCAATACACCACAGAATAATGCCCACAGGGAGAAGTGCAGTTCTCCATTTTACCCCAAACTTTTACATTTTGGTATTGCTCTTAAACTCATATGCCATCACCTGAGGGGGGGAAGGTGTAGTATCGTGCATAGAAGAGCCAGGCACAGGCTCTCACTGTATTAAGAAGTCTTCATGTATCCCCTCATTCCCCCCTCCCTCAGGAATGCGATCAGTGTTTGATGCTGAGCCCTGCCTAACAATCCTCTTGCCAAATAAGGTATTGGCTTGTCCATGGTAGGAAGATCCCAGTTGATTTTGTGTAGAAAAAGAAGCTGTTATGTTTTGGGTGTAGTCAGAGCAGTGAGAACTGTCTGTGATATAACATCTAGCAGACAGAAAGCAAAGGAGAATCTCGGTGCAACCACGAAACCGAGTGCAAGACCAGAAACCCCTTTTTAGCTCATCAGACTTGAAACTGCTTAACACCAGGCATTTATTTGGCAAGTACTTATTCACCTAAACTTCTTTCTGCTATCTGTTTGCTGTGCTCTGTGTATATATATATATATATATATATATATATATATATATTGTCATACCTTTTAAGTAATCAGAACACACGTGCCCTTAACAATGTACCATGCAATACTTGTGAAACACTCCAAAAGGAGGAAAAAAAAAAAAATATATATATATATATATATATATATTATTATAAATCTCTATGTCACCAAATCTATAACCAGTGCGACATACCCGTATCACATCCACTATGTGAATCTGTGACACTTATAACACTGCAACTTAGTGACACTGCACTTAATATATGAAGTGATCAAACACACATCCCCAGCCAAAAACGTGATCTCCAACTCCTGTGTAAGATGGATAATTACCCTATATCCCCAAAACCAGGGCTTAATATAGGTCTCCTTAGATGTAGAAATCCATCCAATATTAGGTCCAATAGAGTGATTTGACTTCCATTCTCCTCATAAGAAAATCCAAGTTACATATGGTAGATTCAATAAATGACAGCCTTTATTCAACAACTTACATTTCAGTAAGATTACACCAGCTCCTCCTCATCGAGATGTACAAGCAGACAGACTCGGGAACACTAGCCACATGTTCCCACTTCCAAGATGGCCGCGATCGCACTTCCTGTTAACGTCGATGCGTCTGACGTCACGTGTTTCTGACGCGTTTCGTCACTTCCTGTGACTTTTTCAAAGGATAAAGACGTCTGCGCATCAGCCCCTTATATACTGCCCTCCAGCCATGACTAACGTCACAGATCGCCATCTTGGAAGCTGGAAAACAGCCTTCTTTCTGTAAATATCTTCTTTCTGTAAATATTTTTACTGCACCCTTTTGACCTTTTGGTAATAAATCTTACTTTCTAAAAGTGTTGAACTGTTTCTATAGCTCCTGAATGCAACTTATGAATCCCTGCTGCTGAAGAGTGCTACTATGAGTATTTAACCCCTCTGTATAACCGGTCTGTAGAGATAGCAGGATACTGATGGTTAACCAATTATCCTAGTGTATTGCTGAGTTTCCTCTCTCTGTATAAAAAGGAGGTGGTGGCAGTGTGAAGGGTTAATTGCGTAATTAACCTGACCCAGTAACAATCGCATTCAGGCTGCCGTACGTTGATTGTGGTCCAATTAGCTGGAAAATCAGTGTGCAGGGTGCAGCTGGGTGTGGCATTGTTACTCACGTGACAGTGCATATTTAGATTGGCTAGTCCTTCGGTCACAAGTTTGGTAAGAAGGGCTGGGGTCTGACGCCGCTCCCGTCACAGTGCTCTATTGCTTCTTATTAAGGAAACTTATGAGTCATCCAACTTGCCGAAAACAATGTCCATACTGAATAGCTGGTAGGGCAAACAGTATGAACTAATAGTAGGGAATTGCCTAAAGCTGAACTAAATTCTTTCAGACAACAATAACTATTTTTAATCTTTATGCTGTTAGCCATAATAAATAGATAGGAAGGTATATTATATTTTTTATTGTTTTAACCATTTGTCTACAGGGCATTTATACCCCCTTCCTACCCAGGCCAATTTTCAGCTTTCAGCACTGTCACACTTTGAATTACAATTGCGCGGTCATGCAACGTTGTACCCATATGACATTTTTATCATTTTTTTTAGACAGATAGAGATTTCTTTTGGTGGTTTTTAATCACCTCTGGGTTTTTATTTTTTGCCAAACAAACCAAAAACAACTGAAAATTTTGAAAAAAAAAGTTTTTTCTTTGTTTTTGTTATAAAATTTTGTAAATATGTGATTTTTCTCCTTCACTGATGTGCGTTAATGAGGATGCAGTGATGGGCACAGATAGGTGGCAGTGATGGGCACTGATAGGTGGCACTGATGGGCACTGATGAGGAGGCACTGGTAGGTGGCACTGATGGGCATTGACAGGCATCACTGATGGGCACTGAAAGGCAACACTCATATATGGCACTGATAGGCGGCACTGTTAGATGGCACTGACTGGCACTGTTAGGCAGCACTGATAGGCAGCACTGACGGGCACTGATAGGTGGCACTGATGCGCACTGATAGGCGGGACTGCCACTGATAGGCGGCACTGATTGGCAGCACTGATAGGCGGCACTGACTGGCATTGATAGGTGGCACTGACTGGCACTGATAGGTGACACTGAAAGACAGCTCAGATGGGCACTGATATGTGGCATTGATGAGGCACTGATGGGCACTGGCAGGTGGCATTGATGAGCACTAACAGCTGGCATTGATGGACACTGACAGGTGGAACTGCTGGGGTTACACTGATCATTAGGGCACAGTGATCATCAGTGCCCTGATGATCAGTGTACATGTCCCCTCTGAGGAATGCCGTTTACCGGTTCTCCTCTCGAGTTGTCAGCGTGACAGCTCATGAGGAGAGAAATGCCGATAACTGGCATTTCCCTATTTACATGCGATCAGCTGTGATTGGACACAGCTGATCACATGACCGAGCTGACATCTTCAGCTCTTTCCATTGATCGGTGATCCGCTGTGTCCGAGGGACTTAGCACACCACCGGTCGCCGCGCTGCGCACTCCTGGAGCCGCACACGAGCGATTAGAGTGGGAGGACGTCATATGACGTTCTCCCAGAACAAGAGAACTGCCTTGCACCAGCCATTTCCTTATATGGTGGGCGGGAGGCGGTTAATTTATTTTAGGTAGCGCCCTGCCAAATGTTAGGCTAAATTTAGTTTTGGGCTTCACTGTACTCAATGGAATAGTGATCTGTTTTTCTGGTCTGGTTAGGTTTCTCTAAGGTCGGTGGTTGATTGCTCCTGTCTGAAAATAGAATAGAATTGTCAGCCACTGATTTATGATTATTTGTCAGACCTCGGCCAGTCAATGTTTGGAAGGACTTTTTTTCCTCTCCAGAGATGGTTCCAGTTCTAGGACTGCTGCCCCTGGGAGACAGTTAGTGTGTGACAAGAGCTGCAGTTTGGACCTCAACAGGTGCTGGGCTGAGGGCCTGGAGAAAATAGGCAAAAATCATTTTTTGCTGGAGGGCATCATCTTGGAGTCCTTGTTTTAGAGTATCCTTAAAGTGTTACTAAACCCAGGACCCTGCATTCACTATATCTGGTCTCCCACAGTATACAGAACATGGAAATGCAATTATTTTAGTAAATATAAACTGCTAAAACCCTTTTTTTTATCAGCAGTTAGAGCAGTCTTGTGACTTCTATAAGTGTTCAGCAGAGCACTGGTTAAAGCTTGAAGGATGAGTTTTTATTCTGCTCTCACTGCCCTATGAGATTGCATAACCCCTGACCCTCTGTCTGGACAGTGCTGATTGGTCCTGTGCTGATCACATGCACCCTCCCAGGAAAAAGAAAAAACTCCCTAGCAATACACACCAAAGTGAGCATGTGCAGAGTGTCCCCCGAGGCTGTGTTCCATCAGGAGATGAAATGGGGAACGTAGAAGGAGGGAAAGATCAGAGAAGACAGGATCAAACATCCTTTTTACACAATGTGGAGGATTAACCCCTTAGATTCCACAGTGAATACATCAAGCATGCCTCACTGCATATACAGACTGATTTTACTGTTGTGAGTTTAGTAACACTTTAACCTAAAAATCTCCTGTTCAAATTTCTGCAAATAAAATCTACAAAAAAGACATCACCTAGAGTGATTCTGTGCTGTCAGTGTGCTTGGAACTGTGTCTGTAGCAGGCAGTCTCTGTACTATTGTGGGAGAACCTGTCTCTTTTCAGTTGCCCCACTGGGGGAGAGTGCTACATTTACATTTCTGCAGTTCCTTCCTGGTTTCTGGCCTAGGCCAAAAAGATGTCATGCATCCCAGGAGTCTTCATGGGTATTTTGTTTTCATCTGGAGAAGGGAGAAGTACTAGCTCTCCTGCCTGAATTCCTGAGCTAACGGCAGATGGATTCCAGGAAGTTAATGCTACATGAATCATCTACCATTACTCAAGATGGCCTCAGCTAAAAATGCTAGAGGGGTGTTGTTCACTGTGATTTCTCAACAAAATAAAGCATGGAGACATGGAAGGATGGTAGAATTTAGTATGAATATTAACCTCTTGGCGCCGGCCGAACGCAAATGTGCGGCCTCCCAGCGTCTGAGCCTAGACGCGAGCATCCGTACATTTGTGTTCTATTAAAAAAAACATATGCGCTGAGAGCGTGCACCCTGTGCGCTCCCAGCACACATGTCCGGTACTCATGGAAAGGTCCTAAACTCTCCTCTTTCGATCGGGACCTTTCCCGAACATGTGACTGCCGGGACAGCGTGCTACGGCGGTCACATGACCCTAAACCCCGCCCAGCCTCCTGGCTTCTGAAACTCTTAAAGGGCAGGGAGGTGCCGGCGTCAAGGGGTTAAAAATTAATAAAATAGCATTTTCAATAGGAAAGCAATATAAGTGAGCACTGTGAGGAAGTAGCCGCTAGCACCAAAAAAGGTGACACACCAACCTTATAAAACCAATATAAAACAATACTGGAGAAAGAACGTTGCAGCACGTAAAATAAATATCCCTATGGCATAAATATAGATTATACCTGTAAATAAACACCAATCTTTAAAACTAGTGCAAAAACTCCTCCTTCAAACTTTAACCAGTGCTCTGCTGAACACGATTGCTCTAACTGCTGATGAGAAAAGGTATTTAGCAGTTTATATTTACTAAAATAATTGCATTTCCATGTTCTGTGTACTGTGGAAGACCAGATATAGTGAATGCAGGGTCCTGGGTTTAGTAACACTTTAAGGATACTCCAAAACGAGGCCAAATCAACAGGACACACTTCTTACAAAATCCTCCTGAAACAACCTTGACTGGAGGTAATAGGGAATGGTCAGTAGTTCTAGGTCTCTGTAAAATCCGTTTTAACTAATAAAAATACATGGCATTATAACAAATGTCCAAAAAATCAAATATAAATAAAATAAACACAGTAAATAACAGTCCAAATCATACATCAGTGGAGTAATTACAGTGAAAGTCAGTTATAACATTCCATTGATTGTGAGGAATATGTGCAAATTGTGCCACTTTGCCCTGTATTGAGACTAGGTTTGCCTCCTCATCCCTTTAAAACCGAACACATATTAATTACACAGGTTCTTTGGCTGATTAAGGTGGTCATTAAACTCACTTGGTTCCTTATCTAAATTAAATTAGCCTCAGAACCTGTGTAATTAATATGCATTTGGTTTTTAAAGGGATGAGGTGGCAACACTAATTGAGACCCTGCACCAATAGCAAAAGCATTCAAGCTATAGGTAGTCATCTAACACCATTTTTATTTCACCTAAATTGCCTAAATGTCAATCCGCAGTTGATCACGTCTCCAAATATCAAAGTACCATGTAAAGTGTAAATTGGGAAGGACAGAGTGCAGCCACTGACGTAGGGATGCCTGTTCAGAGAGTGATGTAAACACTAGTAGAGAACTGTAGAAGAATGGCAAGTAGAATATTTAGCGCACTCCGAGTAAGGAGGTAAATGCGGCATACAATATGTATAAGCATATAATCAATGGTGATGGAATTAGGGAAAATAATTAATGAACAATGTACTGTAATAAATATACAAATAAAAATTCCTTAGAAAGAGTCCTATAGGTAATTCTGATGCACCATAGAGTGGAGGCCAATAACGATCTACAGAGGCTCTGTGGAAGATCGGGAAGAAAGAAGCGGCGCCCTCTAAGTGCAGTATAAAAGCTATTTAATTAATAAAAAGTGTAGTAATACAGGCCACTCACAAAGCATAAGTAGGTTTGCACTTGTAAATTAATAAGCATCCGCTGTAGTGAAGGCGTTTGAAGCCTCTGGATGGATGGATGGATGGATGGACAGTTCCTGAACTGTAGAAGAATCCTCCTCAGCAAGTGGGTACCCACTTGCTTTCGTGCTGGGGAATTCAAATGGTAAGAGCCACCACGTCTGCTGGCTGGGGCAGTAGAATTAATGGTAGAATTGAAGGATGTACCAAAGCATAATGTTATCTCCTAGATTGTAAGCTCCAAGGAGCAGGGTCATCCTATCCCTTTTGTATTGGACTGTATTGTTGCTGTATTGTCTCCACTTATATTGTAAAGTGCTGAGCAAACTGTTGCCGCTATATAAATCCTGTATAATAATAATAATAATAGAATTAGCAGCATAAAGCTGAGGAGTGCTGGGCTTAGTATACTGTATATAAAGGAAAGCAGTACCAAAGCAATTTAAAAGCCTTCAGTGAAAATGCATTGTACTTTCCCTTTCATTTTGAAATACAGAAAATATAACAAATTACCTCTTCACGCCAGCCGTGTGCATAAATGGAGCCTCTCAGCGGGTGAGCCTTAACTCCAAGAGGCCGCATATATGCATAGCAAAATGTAAGCTATGCTGTGCCAAGAGCAGGTGCCCTGCGTGCTCCCGACATAATTACAGAGAGCTTTCCAATCATATGACTGCTGTGACAGCCAATCACAGCGTTTATATGACCAAAATGATGTATCCCTGCAAGGTGTTTCCTGGCTAACACTTGAATGTGAAAGTAGCAGCGGGTATGGTCATACCCATATTTGGTCAATAACATCAACCACCGTGCCTGCCTATTTGTATACAATTTAGCTGTTAGCCCAGGATCTGTCATTCAACGGGAGTCTCTTCTGGTTGGCATGTTTTTTTTTTCTTGGTCGCCATCATATATCATGATTGACAAGGATCTGCATTGCTGGACAGTGTGATTGACAGTGGATTTACATTATTGGACATTTTTGGTTTTCTGGGTTTTTTGTTGCTTTTTGTTATAAATGACCTGTCAAAATGTATGGTGTGATTATTTACTATTAACATTTTTTGATCACTAAGAAAGGGTAATATGTACCCCTTACTCATTCATGTAGAGGAAGTTGGTATCTGGATCCCCCTTATTTTTAAGGGGGCTTCCAGATTTGGATAAGACTCCTACACACAGAGCCCCACAACCACCAAGTCAGGGTTGTTCTTGGAGTTCTTGCTTAAAATCCATAACAGACTCTCAACAAGGCTGAGGATTCTGGTATAAAGGGGAACCAGGTAGCATGGAGTTATATGTTTGTTAGAATGTAGGTAGTGGTCACTTATAAGATTGGTCAGAAGAAGTGGAGTAATGGAGAGGAGCTCTGAGGGATAGTCTGTGAGGAGTAAGGTAAGCTTCAGTCAGAGATCTGAAATCGTCAAAGAAGCATCCCTCATTCCCACCCTGTTTATTGATTTTGGACAGTCTGAATTTAGGTCATAGCAGGTATTGGCAGTTTGAGGTAGTACAAGCTGGTATTTTTGGAACAC